AGAGCGTTTGGACACACACTCTACTCTTGCCTGATGAACAAGGTGTGCAGAGCCTGGGTCATTCCACTCCCCTGAGTGCAGAGTCTAATGACTTAGGGTTAGGGTCCTGATGCACAAATGGGCTGGAAAGCTCTGCGCTGTTCACTTCCCCTGGCTAGTCTCTGCTACCTGATGGCTCTCAGACACAGAGCACTTGTCATGTTGTGAGGAGGGACCAACATGCCTGCACTGACACAGTCACACTGGCGGAGTTCAGACTCATCCAAGTGAAAGAAACCGTGTTAAATGTTTTTTAAAAACCATCTTGTTATAATGGGAGTGAAATTTCCTTCCCAAGGAATCAGGTAGTCTTTACATGGTCTCACTAATATCCCTAAAGTAAATGGCCATTTGACTTTCTAAAATGAGAGTGTTTTCCTTGGGAGTGGTCCAGTAGCCATGTCCCGCGCAGTCGAGTCTGGCTCACAAGTGTTGTGTCACCCAGAACTCTCCACTCACCAAGAGGTCTGCAGCCTTTAACACAGTGATGACTGAGACTTGGGGTCAGGACCCTGGGTGCCCTGCAGGGCTCCCAAGTACATTGCTGTCCTTGAGTGTGATGAGGTTATATTTGGTCTATAGCATAATTGTTAGCCTGGAACTAGTTCTTTATTATTTTATGATTCCCATAAGACCACCGGTAGTTCTTACTCAGGGCTACCTTGAAGGATAAATGTTAAACATAGTGATCACTTAATAAGCTGACTTGATTCAGTAATTTCTATTAAAGACATTACACATCTTTAGTAAAGTGGGACTTAGGGATGTCAGGGGAAGAAAGAAATATGCCCATTGAAGTCTTTGGGCCTGAGTTTTTCTGGAAGTGTCAAATGTGGGCTTGCAAGAAAGACGGTTCAAGTCTCTTCTTGCCCTGACAAGAAGAGACTTGAGTAGCTGGAGGTTTACAGTTTCAGAGATGTAATACATGTAGACTTTGGGGAATACTAGCTTTTGTCTAATTGGTTGCTAAAATCAGGTATCTATGGAAACAACCATCTGTTAGTAGTCAAGATAGGAAATTTATTCTTTTTATGCTGTACAATTACACAGTGATGACCGTAGTGCTCCTTGTATGATGGCTTTTTGTAAGACCTGCCAAAGAAATTGGACTTCTCGTGTCTACAAGAGGAGAAAAGTATACCTACTCCTCCCTCTGCCTTGAGCTACCTCCACATTTTCAGAAACCAATGGTCCTACCCCCATGAAACCTCATAATTGCTCTTCCCAGATTATTGTACAAGTTTGGAATTTTAAAAGTCGTCTCTCACCAGTGGTTTTATAAGCTCAAAGGCAAGTTTATTTTGAAAACCTTGTTCTGTATCTTTTTTGTCTTTCTATGCAGGTTTTACTTTAACATTAAATTTTTTGCATTTCTATAATATCGCTCTGTGTTACTAAGAAAATTCTCAGAGATGAGCTCTGGATTTTCTCCAGTATGAATGTATCTCCCTACCCTGGCGGAAGATGGTTTCTGGGACATGGTTAAGTCCCCTGAAGCTTTGCCTTTTTTGTTTATAGAAGAGGTCTTGAGAGCTTATGCAAAGAATAAACAGGCTTCTGGTGGTTGAGTCAAAAGATGGGAAAAGCTCTCTTTCTCTTTTTGTTTTGTTTTCCTCAAATTCTGTCCCCAGAATTGTAATCTGGTGTCTAACATGTTTTAACCCAAGAAAGAGACATTCTAGCTTGTGTTTTTTTTTTTTTTAATTTATTTAACTGTGTATTTTTTTTAATTAAAAAAATTTATTTATTTAATTTATTTATTTTTGGCTGTGTTGGGTCTTTGTTGCTGCATGCGGGCTTTCTCTAGTTGCAGCGAGTGGGGGCCACTCTTCGTTGAGGTGTGCAGGCTTCTCATTGCGGTGGCTTCTCTTGTTGCGGAGCACGGGCTCTAGGCACACGGGCTTCAGTAGTTGTGGCACGTGGGTTCAGTAGTTGTGGCTCATGGGCTCTAGAGCGCTGGCTCAGTGGTTGTGGCTCACGGGCTTAGTTGCTTCACGGCATGTGGGATCTTCCTGGACCAGGGCTTGAACCCGAGTCCCCTGCGTTGGCAGGCAGATTTTTAACCACTGTGTCACCAGGGAAGCCCTGTAACTGTGTATTTTTTCATTTAACTCTTTGCATGTGGTCTTTACTATTCGTTTATTCTTTATTCCAAATAAATATTTGAGTCATCACTTTTACCTGGTACCCTAGGGCCCTAGGGTTATCTTGGTGATTGAGGCAGGTACATTTTTCTGCACTGGCAGGGCTCACTGTCTAGAAGGGAGACAAGATTACTGGACAGTTACAGCACAACGTGGGGCACTTTTAGTGGGAGAACCCGGGGCATATGTGCTCTCAGAGAAGGACCTGTAACTCAGCTTTGGAGGTCAGAGAGGTCCTCTTGGAGGAAGTGACCTGTAAAATGAGACCTGAAGGATAAGCAGGTGTTGGCAGGGGGATCAGATGGGGGAAGAGTGTTTCAAGGAGAGGGTGTTGGGTACTTGATGTCACTGCAGAAAGAAAACTAAAAACTAGTTTTATTCCCAGTTAGCCCCAAAATCAGATTTCAAAGAAAATCCTTGTAATGGTTTGACTTCATTTCAACTTTACCAACTCAAAATCAGAAAGACAGTGCAAGTTCTAGGTATGTTTATGAATGCGGGTCATTCAGCCCTGGAGGAATAAGTTGGGCATTGTCTGAAGTTTGCCAAGAGGCTGTGTTCATTAACATCCCCCTTGAACTGTTCATGGATGCCTATCTAAGCAAAGAATTACGGATGGGAAGGAATGTAGAATTCTGCATCACTCTGAAAAGGGCTGCTCTTGACACAGAGCAGTAGACCTTCTGAGCAGAGGAAAGTCAAATGCAGAACATTTACTTATGGAGGCACCAACAGCTGTAAGTCTGGACTATGTGTCCTGGGCTCCTTTGGCGTGTTCCAGAAGTCAGAATGGAATTCTGAGTTTTTGAACATTGGTCACTTACATTTGGTCACAGAAGCGCTATAGACTAACTCTGATGACCAGTGACCACCCCCATGGGCAGTAGGTAAGCCTGAATCTAGAATCTTGGGTCATAAATAATTGATCTTGAGCAATGATTGTCAGCCCTATACCTGTCTCCCTATATAGTGGATAATGTTCAGCTGCACTCACAGATTTTGATGATCACTTTTCTCCCCCAAAATGCTTTGCAGGGAAGCAAAGATCACTATGATAATTATAATGGCAGAAATGGCTGATGGCACATCATCAGGAAATCTCTATGTTTGTGGGTTAAAACAGGGGTTGTCAAAGTATGACTCTTGGAAATGCAGCATCAGCATCAACTGGGAACTTGTTAGAAATGCATATTTTCAGTCCTGCTTCAGACCTACTAAATCAGAAACTCTGTGGGGTAGGGCCCAGCAATTTGTGTCTCAACAAGCCCTCAAGGGGATTCTGATGCATATTGAAGTTTGAGAACCATTGTGGTAAATAAGACAAGCCACAGATAATGAGAAGATCCTGTGACTTATGTTGATTGTCTGCCTGTGACTTTATCCCTTTCTCTCCACTTAAGAAGGTAACTTGGAATGAGTGAGTGAGAGTGAAGTCATTGTGGGGACAGCCATGAATTTGTAGACTTACTGACATATGTAAACTGTTGTTAACTTTGGTGCTTTAATTTTTATTTATTAATCACACGTGACAAAAGTCACAGCAATGGGGATACCACAGTGAACTGCTGAAGTTCTGTTGCTGCAGCCAGAACAGTGGCTTTCATTGTTTTTTTAAATACTACATCCTACGCTAAGAAATATGTTTAAATTGCTCTCTAGGAGATACATACATGTGTGTATAACCAGAACAAATATTTCATGAAATAACATCCTTACTATATTTTCTGTGCTGTACTATTAAAAAGTATGCTGATTGAAACCCGTTAAATTGATCTAGTGACCCACCAATGAAATGTGACCTGCAGTTTGAAAAACACGGTGTAGTGAGCTGTCCTGGCATAGACCCTGTCTCTGGAGCAGGAGAGAGGTGGGGCTGCACTCACGCCTGTGTTAGGTGCACTTGGCTCTCAGTCTCTCTTCTGCTGCTCTTAGCTGTGTGACCTTGGGCAATTTACCTATGTTCTCTGAGCTTTACTTTCCTGACCTGTCAATGTGGACGATAATATCTACCTTGCAGAGTTGTGGTGACAAACAAATGACAACATACTTCACAAGATGACTGGCAGTGGTAGCTACTACCTTACTTGTGGAAATAATACTATAGCACTGTTTTTTCAGAACATCATCAGTTACATGCATTTTTGTGGTGACCACCACAAAGCGATGTTTTACAAATTTTTTCCCATACTGCCGTGAATAAGTGCTCCCTATAATCTATGCATTCAGAAATATTTTTGAATAAATTTTATCTTAAAAATGCATCCAAATTCTGTACTCTATTCCAAAATATATTCATATATATATATATGGGAATATTTTATTTTGATTTAAAATTTAGTCCCCTGGCCCCCAATGCTTAAGGACACTCAGATTGCAGAAGATACCCCAAGTGGCTATACCCCCAACACAGCCCTGAGCAGGGGCACTTGGGAAGCGTAGACTTTATGGTTGTGTTTCTGTGGGAAGATGCTCGTTAGACTTTTCTTGAATGTTCAGACCTGTTGGTGATTAGGGGCAGCACCTTCATGTATGTAGCTCTGTAAACTGGCATCTCAGATCATCCACGGGCCCTGGGCAGTGAGCATGTGGACATAACAGGGATTGATGACCCATGAATCTGGATGTTGGGGAGACCCAGCTAATGTCCACTTGTCTTTCTGGAGGTCATGATCGTGGTTGGCGGCCAGGCACCCAAGGCCATCCGCAGTGTGGAGTGCTATGATTTTGAGGAGGACCGGTGGGATCAGATTGCTGAGCTCCCCTCCAGGAGATGCAGAGCAGGTGAGCCGCACTGCCTCCCGCTCCTCCACTCCGCCCCACCCCTGCCGCCACCGCAGGTCTCTACTGGGTGCCACAGTCCTGCTCCTTGTTTCCAAAAACATCTGTGCATTCCACACTCCCTTCCTTTCCCTTCCCCACCTGCACAGTTTCTAGCTGCACCTTCTGGGGTCAGTTCTCATGTGCTTAGGGACTTCAGGCTAATCCAAGTACTTGCTTGAATCAAACAAAACTAGAAATGCAAATGTGAGAAGAAATCCAGTGAGTCCCATAGTGACTTCCAAATATCTAAAGTTGGAGATCACCTTCTGTGGTGAATTATTTACATGCCTGCCTCGTTCCCCCATTATCACTCATTAACGTGAGTCATCAGCCGTCTGAGATGACCTTGATGCCTTGGTTTCCTGTGCCTCAGGTGTGGTGTTCATGGCTGGCCACGTGTACGCCGTGGGCGGGTTCAATGGTTCACTGCGTGTGCGGACAGTGGATGTGTATGATGGGGTGAAGGACCAGTGGACGTCCATCGCCAGCATGCAGGAGCGCCGGAGCACGCTGGGAGCAGCTGTGCTCAACGACCTGCTCTACGCCGTCGGGGGCTTTGATGGCAGTACTGGTAGGTCCCGGACTCAGTCCCCATCCAGCCTAGGACACACCTTCCATGCAACCCTGGTTTGGTCAGCCATTTCTTGGGCCAACCGCTGGTCCCTCTGTAGCTACTGCCCCAATAACATACCCATCCTTTCTCCTCTCCCAGCTTGCGTGTCAGAGGCACACCTTCCTACACACAGAATATGTAACTGCCCACGTGCTGTCATTTCTAGGGCTCTAGGAAGGACCACACCCTCAGAAGAGTCCCTTTTCTGCTTTCCAGTGTCTGTTAACCCATTTATTCTGGAGATGAGACTTAGAGCAAGCTCAGCTGGATGGTGTCTCAGAACTGTGGTCTGAACCCCCCTCTGAATAGATGAGGGAGCTAAGGTTCAGCTATGGGAAGAGACGTGGCTCAGGTCACACAGTCTTTGCCCACTGCCCTTTCTACTGCCCCACCAAAGCTGTGCAAGGTTGTGCCACTGCAGAAGCGTCCCCTTGCTCCTGGCTTTCATCTAGCTCCAAAGTGAGAATCAGAAACTACTAGTGGACATGGACTTGGAGAGATTTTCTCCAGGTGGATATCTCTGTTGACAGCAACTCTGTTAAACTAAAATGATATCTTTTGGCCCCCAGTGACGTGAAAAACAACATATTTTACCTCTCTGAAATTTCATTTGTGTCTTCACCAATTGGTAACCTTTTTCAGCCTTCTCTTTGCCTGTTTCATTAATTCCAAGATCTGTAGCTCCTCCAGAGGCTGCTTCTAGTGAGTGGGAACTGGGAATAAAGAGAACAAAGGATAGTGGGGCATTGTTTCTTTTAGGCATTGCTTTTGGCTGCTAGTAGAAAACCTGATTAAACTGTGGCTTAAACAAATGAGAGCTTTTGCTTTGTTCGTGAAACAAGAAATTCAGAGGTTGGCAGTTGCCACCTTCGTCCAGTTGCTCAAGGATACTGGGGCCAAGTTCCTGAAGAGTCTTTTGGACTTATCCTCATGGTCACAAGGTGGCTGTTATATCCAGCCAACACATTTGTGTTCCAGGTAGCAAGAAGCAGGAAGGGGGGTGGGGGCTTATCAGAAAAGCAAAGGCTGTTTCAGAAATCCTGCTTAGATTGCATTGACTTGGTCACCCACAGCTCCAAGGGATTCTGGAAAGGCAAGTTTTCAGCTTTCCAGCCTCTAAAATAGAGGAAGACAAGGGAAAAGAGGGATAGAATAGGTGTTCAGCGAGGCAACCTCAGGTATTTATTCCATTCTGTCGGTTTTATGGTTTACGTTATACCCCTGGGCCTCTCACAGCCCATCCTCTAGGTCAGGTCTTAGTGGTCCCCTCAGGCAGACACAGTGCAAATGTTTAGGGAGGTGCCACGGGCTGCACAGTGAGGCAGAGGTAGTGCTGAGTCATACACCCAGGTTTCCAGCCCCCAGGTCTGCACTGTTCCCCCATCCTCACTGTTCACACAGCAGGGTGAGGCCTGGCACCATAGAAACCTCATGAGTCTCTTGTCTCCCAGGCCTGGCGTCAGTGGAAGCCTATAGCTACAAGACCAACGAGTGGTTCTTCGTGGCCCCAATGAACACGCGGCGGAGCAGTGTGGGTGTGGGTGTCGTAGAGGGTAAGGAGCGGGAGTGGGTGGTGGCCTGTTCCTGCCCTGGCCCCTGGGCCTTCTCCTGGTGTCCTGACTCTATTCCTCCCGTTACTGCTGAGCCTGGTACTAGTATCCTGATGAGCGGATGAGAAGAATTGAGACTCAGAAAGGTGAAGCTACTGGCCCAAGGCTAGAAAGTGGGTGAGCTGGGTTGGGGGGCGTGGGAGGAGCCTAGAGGGGAGATGCTGGCCTGTTGCTTTGGCCACTTGTCTCTATTACGAGTTGGGGAATCCAGAGTCAAGATATAACCCAGGAGTATAATGTGGAGGGGGTGAGAGTCAATTGTTTGTTTAATTTTGTCCTCATGTTCACATGTTAAGCATTATTAACAGAGCCCTGAGTGAGGTGGGCACCTTTCCCCAGTTCTGATTAGTCACTGCAAGGCAGGTTGGTGGGTCCTGCTCTAGTCAGGAAAGGTGTGTGCGGTGAGACAGCGAATGGTGAGGTCTGGGGCCTGTTTAGACAGTGCACTGTAGTTTTTAAACGGTTTTCATCTCCAATTTCTCATTTTGTTCCTAAAACTCTCCTGAAGGAGATGGGCAGGACTTAGCTTTTCTCTGTTCTCCAGAAGGGGAAGCTGGTCCCAGAGGGGGTAATCAATGTGCCCCGTGCTAGTAAATAGCACAGCCACTCCTTGAACCCAGGTCTTCTAACTCCCAACTCAGACCATTAGCAAATGCTAGTAGAGAGACATTTTAGAAATATGTATGAATTCAACGTATTAAAGCATAGAGTATTATTTGGACTAAAACGCTATACTTTGCAGGACAACACTGATTCATTAGCCTGTCCTGAAGTGGGAACTTAGCTGGAAATCTGTGCATTCACACATTTTCTATGTGTGTACACAGGCATTTTCTATGACACGTGCACACACAACACATACACATGCTTCGGGGAGAGTGTAAGGTGCGGTGAGTTAGACATTAATATAAGGATTCTTTTCTCTTGCTGCATTTCTTGGTCCATACCAGTATTATGTAGTTTAAATTTTAATTTAAAAGTATATTGTTCTAACATACTGAATGAGTCATCTTAGTGAGTGCAAGGATTTTTGTCCTACCGAGATAAAATTGTTTCTTGCGATCTCATCCTCCCGTTGGAACAGAAGTTGATTTGTCTGCCAAATGCAAGTGCTTTGTCTAGCCACCTTCCCATTTCCCCCCTTTTTCCTTAGCCAGGAATATCAAACAATAGAGTTGGGGTTAAAAATAGCGTATCCCTGAAAGGAGAGACATTGAGTGGGTATTTTTTCAGCTGCCGCAGAGTTGGAATGGTTGATGGGGGTTAGAGGAGATACCTTCCTGGTACTCATTTGAAATACTCCCCTTGACAGAGCCTTCTGCGAGCATGTTCTGTGTGGCAGAAGCGCTGTGTGGTAGCATGCCCTGTTGACCCCGAGGACAGACTGGGGATTTATTGATCTTGTCCAACCCGAATCTGAAGCTCTTTCAGCTGAGAGTCACCCTGGGGCGGCAGAGTCCAATGGACAGCTTTGGTGAGAATGTCCAGGGAGGATCTTAAGTGGACGCTCCTTCCCCGTGGCCCTGAAGATACAGCTCCCCACGCTGTCTGCACAGAACCCACCTCCCTCTCATCGTCTCCTTACCATGGCTGCATAGCCTAAATAACACTGGGGAAAAAAGAAAGAAAGGATCATCTGCTACTGGCTGCCTTGAAGAATCTCTACGCAGGAAGAGGGACAGTGAGGCTGGGAGATTAGGCAGAAGCTCCCCGCAGAGCAGAGGCCGTGTGTTACAGAGACTGGGGTTGCCCTCAGGAGCTTCTCTTTTCCTCCACACCCCAGGCCTGTCTCCTCCCTAGTGATGGACAGCTGGCTGGGCAGGTGGTTACCTCTGAGCCAGCACACACCACGAGAGTAGCCTGGGTCCTGGGGGAGCTCTGAGTCAGGATTTTGCCCTCCGGCTTAGGCGAGGGCAGAGTCAGGAGGAGGTGTCCCTTTCTTCTAGAAGAGCTGGTTGAGAGGGCTGTTGGGGCAGAACACAAACCCAGGCTCAATGATAGAAGAAGAAATAATTTTACATCTGATGCAGCAAACGTCCTGATAGTACAACATAGCTCTGAGCCTGAGAATCTCTTTCTAACTTAAAATGATTGTAGATTTTTCACATACTGGTTGTACTCTTGGTACCTCTCCATTAAGAAAGCACATAGTGACCAAAAAAATCTTTTGATTGAGTAACCCTGTTAAGTAGATTTGCATCTGGCAGTGTTTATTTAGTCTGTAGCTAGTGTTTAAGATCCTTATTATAATTCCAGGGTCCCCCATAGGACTGAGACCCCAGGTGAGGTAGGACACACACACACACACACACACACACACACACACACACACACACATACATACCACACACACACACGAGACCTTCCCACCGTATTCCAAGACTACATGTTAAACCCAGATGTTTGAATCTCTCTCTGAGATCATTCAAATACCAATTTCCTGCCCCCTTGCCCAACCTCACCACCATCCTCAGAACAAACTGTTGCTCTTTGATAGCCGTTTATGGTATTTTCTTTTTAAAATAGGTGATGGTGCTTCAGGGGTCTTGTGCATGGCTCAGAGATTGCAAGGGGGTCTGCAGATAAATTCCAGCCAACCCATCCCACAGTGCACACAGAGCACTCCATTCACACGTTCTGCCTGCCCGGGTTGTGGACAGAGTACAAAACATGGAGGAGACAATGTTTGGGTTCTTGTTGGAGAATATTTTTCCTTATTTGTTCGGTCTGCTATTGTGAGCCTTTACCCAGAAAGTCTGCCTGCCTGGCTGCACCTGGGGCCCTCAAGCTTTCCATCTCTCCGGTGCCTTGTTCTGGAGAAGATCTAATGAGTTGACCAGGAAGAATATGTTGAGCCCCAGTGACAGCAGGCCATCGCTTTGCACTGGGTGTTTGGGGTGCTTTTTGAGAAAGAGGTTCAGTCGGTACTGCTTTGAGGAGGAACTCAGGGCTTAAGAGGAAGTAGGAGACAGAGTCGTGAAGCATGCTTACCCTGGTTGGGGAGGGAGTCGTGGTCTTCCTGGGGGAGGGGGTCCTGAACCCTGATGGAGGTGAGGGTGCCCCAGTGGGTTACAAGTGGAGTTTCCGCCACGCTCCAGTTCTGTGCGAGTCTGAAGCACCACCCTCAGCCATGTTGTCTGTTCCAGGGAAGCTATATGCCGTTGGGGGTTATGATGGGGCTTCCCGCCAGTGCCTGAGCACCGTGGAGCAGTACAACCCAGCGACCAATGAGTGGACATACGTGGCAGACATGAGCACTCGTCGCAGCGGCGCAGGTACGGTGCGGGAGGGGGAAGGTCAGGGGGCAGGCTGTGTCTGATCTCACAGGTGGGTCTGGAGGCCAAGAGTTGAACATTCTACCTTATTTTCCCTCCCTCTTCTCTCCTGTCAGTGTATATAATCCCACCTGCATCTTTGCAGCTGACACAAGCACTTAGGAGTTAACCCTTCTCGGGGGGATCCCTTTGGTAGAGGACAGATGAGACCATATTCCCTTCATCGTCATCTCTTCCATTTCTTTGGAGGTGTCTGCATCTCTTGAAAAGTGAAGCTTTGCTGTGTGCCAGGTGCCGTCCTAATAAGCACTTTCTATGCCTCATTTTATTTAATCCTCTTCACAGCCCTGCAAGGTAGACAAGATATAACTCCACTTAACAGATTTAGAAAGTAAGTCAGCCAGGGGTTGAGTAATTAGCCCAAGGTCGTATCATTAGTCACTGGCAGAGTTGGGATTCCTACTCAGGCTTGCTGCATTTTGAAGTTAGGTTTTTTTGGACCCCAGACTATCAGAGTCTCATCCTCATGAAGCAGTGTGACAAGCATGGCTGTCCCAGTCTCCTTGGAAAAGCTAAACTTGCCTGTCTCGGTCTTGGCGGCTGAAAGCCAAGCTATTAGTGTTAATATCTGCAGATAAGCTTATGTCTCCCCCCAACTTTTCTTCACTTCAGCCCCCTCCCCCGCCTGGGAGGAGAATAAATCCCCCCATGGGGCCCACTTCCGCCTCCTGTGGGAAGACCAGGAGCTGTGTGGTCCTTTGGGATTTTCCAGGAAGTGGAGCAACAGCCCCTTCTTCCCTGCTTTGTCTGCCCCATCATCTAGGAGCCCAGAGGAAAGGGTCTGGGAGGGCAGATGGAGGCGCTGGAGGCCGGGCACTGGCTCTCTGCTCCCGGTTCCTGTGGGAGTGGTGACTGATGACCAGCCTGGCTGGCAGGAAGGCCATGTGACTTCTGGGAAGGGAAGCCACAACTGGGAGCTTTTCCCCACCATGTTATTACTTTATCTTCCTTTTTGTATTTTTGAAGATTGAGTTGTGATCTCATTTTATACAACCAAACACATGACCACTTCCTTAGTATTCCTTAAAGATTATGCTATTTTAATATTTTTCAAGAACCACTGTATGCCCACTGGTTAGAAAAGAAAATGCTGTATGATTCCATTTAAGAAACATTTGTGTTTGGAAGGCTATTTTTAGGGAGCTCGTCTCTGCTGATCCCGACAGGTTGGCCTTTCCTGAACGTGCAGCAAATGCATGGAAGTCAGGATGGCTGGATCTTGGTTCTGGGTCTGCTCGAATGTCCCTGTGGTCTTGGCCTCTGATTCCTCAGATGTGAAATGAGTGGGCTGCAATAGGTGTTTCCTAGGGCCCAGTTCAATTCACAGATGCTCTGGTTCTCCTGCCATCATAGGGCTCTTTTAGTAGTTTTGGTTTACGGTACTGGTAGAGTCTTCTTTGTATTTCCTGGAAATCCTGTGTGTGACTTGAGGTGTGCAAGAAAGTGTTCAAAGCCCAAGGAGGCAGGGACAGCTCAGCGGGAGTGGAGCAGCACACTGAGGTCTGTGGCTGTTTCTAGGAGTGCCTCAAGCAGAAAGTGTGGAGGGCCAGCTCCGGACAGAGCCACGAACACAGACCCACCTTAGAAAGTTCAGGCTCATCTTGTGGACGGAGCTGCCTTTGGAGGCCTTGCTGCTCTGTCTCTGTCAGGCTGCCCAGGGGTTATTGCTGAGTGGAGATCACTGGGGCTGCTCACTGAGGTCACTGAGGCACGGTGCCCTTGATTTAAGAGGTGGTATCTCTCCCTGAGGTGGGTTCTTTCCTCAGGTCACTCTCAGTGCTCTGGCCTCAGGCTCCCAGGGCAGCCTTTCTTTAGTGCTTCACATCCCTAAGATTTGGAGAAGCCTCACATCTGGAGTTGGGAGCCCACATACTCGTCCTGGTAGGTGTTCTTTGGTGGCTAAAGACCCAGAGGCCCTGGCAGCAGGGGCCCCTGTGGCTCTAGGTCCAGGAAAGCTCTGTGTGAGCACTGGCAGAGGAGGCTGCAGAAGGGCACTGGTGCCCCTGAATGCCTGGAAGGCTGCTTGCTTCCTCAGCAGGGTGTGGGCAGTGCTAGCAGATGGCTGTGAGGAAAAGAGACCATTTCTGGGTCCCAGCATGTGCTAGTTCCTCCTGCACATGGAGGTGAGGAAGGTGAGGCAGCTTTTGGGAACACACTGAATTTTATTTAACTCAAGTCCGTAAGATAGCCACTGTCGATACACCACCACCATCTGCTGTTAGTTTAGGGCAACTGCGAGGAGCCATTTGCACACCTGCATAATTGCTGGTGGGATTTTACACATCTTGGCATTCAGACAGTATTTGTTGAGAACCTACTACGTACCGTCACGCACAGGGAAACGGTCATGATAAGACAAACATGGCTCTTGTCCATATGAAGTTTATATTCTGGAAATCTAGTCCTTGGGTCTGAAACCTGGCTGCACATTCCAATCACCTGAGGTACCTTTTCTGATTCCTGACCAGTGTCTCTGGGAGTGAGGTTGTGGAATCTGTGTTTTCAAAAATTCCCCAGCTAACTGAGCTGTCCACGCAGTGGAGTAGTCTGTGGTCCACTGGAACTACCGATCTAGTCCAGCCCCCTCACTATGCAATTGGAATACTGAGGCCCCGAAGGGGAAGCACCACCTGGCGGGCAGGTTAGAGACACAGGTCCAGAACCCAGGTGTCCCGGCCACCACATCAGCTGCTCTTTTTAGGCACTCGGGCTTTCTGGATTTTATTTCCTTGACTTGTATTAGAGGATGTTAAAAGGTTATGGTAAAACCTGTAAATGATGCAGTCCTGGCCCTCAGCTCAGGCTTACCACCGTCGTGAGTGATTCAGTGCCCCTCTGCCATCTAAGGAGGAGAGGGGGGCAGAAAGAACAGCTTCTGCTTCAAGACAAACAGGGAGGCCTCAGCAATAATGATCTCAGCACACCTGCTGTGCAGTTTCCATTTCAACTCTTTTTACTACACGCACACACAAACACACACCTATATATATTATATATATAATATTTATTTTTATGTGTCTGAATAGAAATGAGGTTATATTTGCTTTATATTTGGCAGTTTTCAAGTTGATTTTATGAGGCAGGTAGGTGTCATTATATTTGTTTTATAGACGAGGACCCTGAGTTCCAGGGAGACAAAACAGCACTCCCCCTGTCACCCTGCCAGTGATGGCTGCCCAAGACTGGACTCCAGGCCTCCTGGTTTCTGGTCGCTGCAGCCAGCCTGAGGCTGGGACTCTGTGCTCTGCCTTTCAGGGGTTGGGGTCCTCAGTGGACAGCTGTATGCCACAGGTGGGCACGACGGGCCCTTGGTGAGGAAGAGTGTCGAGGTTTACGATCCTGGAACAAACACCTGGAAGCAGGTGGCAGACATGAACATGTGCCGGCGCAATGCAGGTAATATGAGTGCTCCCTCCTTCTCTCCTTCCGGGGGAGGTTGTGGGTGTTTTCTCCCTGCAAACACTAGCTCTAAAAGAGAGGCAGAGGGGAGAGGCTCCCAGGGCCTGGGGCTGAGCTTCTACCCTGAGTAGGGAGTGTCCGTTTGCTGGGCAGGGGAGAGCTTGGAACCCACAAAGTTAGCCACGGGGCGCCTCACAGGTCCCCCTCTTAGATGCAGAGGGTTCCTTCCCTCCCAGTGAAGGATGATGACTTTCACTGCACATAGATGGACACAGACCCAGAAGGGCCTCTGGTTGCCATCTGTGCCCCCAGCCCGGTGGCTTTGTTGGGTAGCTAAGCATAGGGCTGTGTGGACAGTGTCAGACAATCACACTTGGTTCTATCTTTTCTTTGCCAGTGTCTGGCTATGAGAACCTCTCACCTCCCACCAGAAACCAACTTCCCTCCTTTCAGGGGTATCCATGAAAGGATTCGTGATCCATTCTCCAGTAGGACCACTTTCCTTATTCCCTTCTTTGTATTTTCTGTCTCTCCTTCCCTTCCCTTCCCTTCCCCTTTTCCTTCCTGTAGGAATGATTTTCCTTAGAGTGTTTAGGTTTTTTATGCCTGGAGCCTGACACCCGTATTAAACCATTTCCTTTTAGAACTTTGCCCTATGGGTTGTGTCCTATGTTGGTATATCTTGCTTTATGCCTTCTTACTCTATCATAGTGTTGGCTTAGCTCAATTTCCCAGGCTGGAAATACAAGCAGGTGACTTTCAGGCAGACTTATTTCCTTTATACTCAAATTACCTGCTTGCTAAACCCATCTGCAGCTGACTTGTGGAAAGCATAAACAAGAAAAAGAGGGGAGTTTATTAATTTGCTCATTGTCTAAGCCTGCTGTGATATAACCTGGCATTTGGCCTTGAGCCACACGAGTGAGGAATTATAGAACCTTCAAGCAGCTAATTCAAGAATTAGGTTTAGATGTAAATGCATGTGTATACACACATTCACATATAGATATTTCTATTTTTTTATAACAAAAATGGAATCATACTGTAATACTGGTTTATAACCTGCCTTTTTAATCTACTTTACAATCTTTTATGAATATCTTATTATAACACTAAACATATTTACATAATATTATTCTAAATGGCTATAACATAATTTAAATAACCAAGCTACTATTGGACTTTTAGGTCATTTCCATCTTTTCTCTAAGTAATGCTTTGGTTATTATAAATAATCTTTATAGCTAATTAATGCACACATTTAAAATCATTTCTTTAGAATACAAGGCCAGAAGTGAAACTTTTGAATGAGAGGGAGTATATGTACTTCTGACACCACCCAGGAAGGTGATGCATTTTATACTCACCAGTATTTGAGAGTATGTTCACCAACACTGATAATTACTACTTTTTGAGCATTGTTAATCCCTGAGTCTAATTTTGAAAAAATACACGGTATATTGGACCACAGCCTTTTAAATCTTGATGAGCAATACTTACATTTTCCTACTCCTGAGTCCCTGCTACATGAGACCGTGCCTCCAAACCAGCTCACTCTGAGATCAGGGTGGGTAGGAAGCCTTTTCCCTGGGACCTGTATCTGGATTCAGACCCCAGTCGTGTAAAGGGATCACAGACACAACCATTAGTGCCCCACAGTGTGGATAAAATGGTTTATCAGGGAACAGCTAACAAGCAGAGTAGTGTACGTGAAATCCCCTGAGTTGTCTCCTTCCACACGTAGCTCAGACTGGGCGTGGGAGGCCTGCATGCACCAGTGGGCAGTGCTGCAGTAGAATAGGGTCTGTACCTACAGTGCTCTGCCTATTTATAGGGTCAAGGGCAGGGAACATCTGTGGGGCTACGTCGTCGTGAGAGACATGACCTTGTTAGGAAGGGGGATCCTCAGATCCCAGTGGCTGTTGTGTGTTCCTCCGTTGAGCAAACTTAAACCCTAGGAGCCAGCTGTCTGTTATTCTAGCAGGAAGAGGAGAAAGAGCGCCTCCAGGGCAATCCAGACTTGTCTCTGGTCCGTCCCCTTGCTGCTCCTGCTGTCATGCCTTCTCTGGCCTCTGTTTGATTCCCAGGGGTCTGTGCAGTGAATGGGCTCCTGTATGTGGTTGGAGGGGATGATGGATCCTGTAACCTGGCTTCGGTGGAGTACTACAATCCTGTCGCTGACAAGTGGACGCTGCTGCCAAGCAACATGAGCACAGGGCGGAGCTACGCAGGTCAGTGTGCTCCACCCCCATCCCGGGGGCCCAGGTCGGGTGGGGCAGGTGGGGGCTAGGTTAGCTTGCTTAACTTGGGGCTGAGTGCCTCCTTCAGGCATGGCAGATGATTGTCACATGTCACCACTCCTTTATTCTGCGCCCACGACAGATACCCATAATTAGCACTCGTTTCCCCAGCGAAGCTGAATGTAGCCACAGAATTCTTCTTGACACTGTTCCAGGGAGCCACTTCTGACTGATCTGAATTGTCATAAGAGGTTTTAGAATTTCATTGCCCTTCCTGATTTGTTTTGTGCTGGGCCCCTAGGTGGAATAAGATACAGTTCTTGCTTTCCAGAAATTAAATTGGAAAGATAAGACCTACCTACAAAAATAGGAAATACAAGATGAGGTACATGTAAGTTCTAAATGAAATGTACTGCACAGGCTTTAGGATAGGACATGACATGTCTGGGAACACTTCCTGGAAGAGGTGGAGCCTGATTAAATTTTGAGGGTGGGTCACAGTCATAGAGGATCCTCCCTGGGCCACAAAGCAGTCTGTTGGGTACAGTGAAAAGATAAGACACACTCTTATCTTTTCAACAACCCTCTGGTTGAATGAGACTCCATTCCATTTTATAGATGATGAAATGGAGGTTTGGAATGTTTAAGTAATCTGCCCAAGACCATGTGGCTAAAAAAATGTCAGGGTCAGAATTGAAACCCAGGTCTGAGTCCCAAGCCCATGCCTTTTGTGCTACTCTAGCTCAGGGTTGGGGGAAAAAACACTCTAAGCAAGAGGCTGGAGGGAAGAAGGAGGAATGAGGCGGCTATAGAGGCTTATTCCTGGTGGGGTGTGTGATGTTTTTGATGAGGTGTGGGGGACAGGATCAGAGTCAGTGGGGCTGAGGTTGAGGGTCTATAGGGAGACAGGCAAACATAGATATCTATGAGGTATTGGTTTGGCCAAAAAGTTTGTTCATTTTTTTCCATAAGATGGCTCTAGTAGCAGTTAGTTGTCTTTAATATCATTTGAAGCAATTTTGTTAGATTGTATTGTGACAGCTGTCATATCAGCGTGTAGTTTTAAAAAAACTTATCAAAACTGGTGAATTTTTGTGTAGCCGTTTTATAATATTGATGGAAGAAAAAAAGCAACATTTTTGGCATCTTATGCTTTATTATTTCAAGAAAGGTAAAAACACAACTGAAATGCAAAAAAAGATGTGTGCAGTGTATGGAGAAGGTGCTGTGACTGATCGAACGTGTCAAAAGTGGTTTGCGAAGTTTCGTGCTGGAGATTTCTCGCTGGATGAGGCTCCATGGCCGGATAGATGAGTTGAAGCTGATAGCAATCAAATCGAGACATTAACTGAGAACAAGCGACGTTATACCACGTGGGAGATAGCTGACATACTCAAAATACCCAAATGAAGCGCTGAAAATCATTTGCACCAGCTTGGTTATGTAAATCGCTTTGATGTTTGGGCTCCACATAAATTAAGCGGAAAAAAACCCCCTTCTTGACCGTATTTCCGCCTGCGATTCTCTACTTAAACATAATGAAAACATTCTGTTTTTAAAACAAATAGTGATGGGCGATGAAAAGTGGATACTTACAATAATGTGGAACGGAAGAGATCGTGGGGCAAGCGAAATGAATACCACCAACCACACCAAAGGCCGGTCTTCATCCAAAGAAGGTGATGTTGTGTATATGGTGGGATTGGAAGGGAGTCCTCTATTATGAGCTCTTTCTGGAAAACCAAACAGTTAATTCTAACAAGTACTGCTCCCAATTAGACCAACTGAAAGCGGCACTCGATGAAAAGCATCTGAAATTAGTCAACACAAAATGCATAATCTTCCATCAGGATAGCGCAAGACCGCATGTTTCTTCGGTGACCAAGTAAAAACTGTTACAGCTTGGCTGGGAAGCTCTGATTCATCCGCTATATTCACCAGACATTGCACCTTCGGATTTCCATTTATTTAGGTCTTTACAAAATTCTCTTAATGGAAAAAAATTCAATTCCCTGGAAGACTGTAAAAGGCACCTGGAGCAGTTCTTTGCTCAAAAGATACAAGGTTTTGGGAAGGTGGAATTATGCGGTTGCCTGAAAAATGTCAGAAGGTAGTGGAAGAAAACGGTGAATACGTTGTTCAATAAAGTTCTTGGTAAAAATGAAAAATGTGTCTTTTATTTATACTTAGAAACTGAAGGAACTCTTTGGCCAACCCAAGAGCTCAGCTCCTTGTATTTGGTTCTCCAGAAACTGGAAGAATTAGAGCTAACGTTTATTTATTGAGCATATGGACCATGTGCCAGGCATCATCCTAAGTATTTATGACCATTATCATGTATAATCTCCATCATAACTCCAATGGTATTCTTATTCCATTTTCCATCTTGTTTGGATTTCAGTGCAAAGGAAGATTATGCCATGCAGGCTCAAAGGGGTTTGTATCGCATTCTGCCCAAGGCTTCAATTAATGAACTTATTTAAAATTTTTTTCTCATTTAGGATTTTTCTCAATTAAATAGAAAAGATTTTAGAGGCATTTTGGCCCTAGAGTGATTCTGTTCTCATGGTTAATTATTAAAAACCAACACTGTCATTTTCTCTCCAAAGCTGAAGTGGAAAGTACAGGGCATTTTCCTGTATGAGGCAGTGAGGCCAGTGAGCGATCCCACCTTGCCTCCGCATGAGCCTTAATGAGAGGGGAAGGTGCAGGTGTGAGTCGTTAGAATTTTGTGTAAGTGCTGAATATTTCATGTCCATTTCTTTACTGTTTGCCCACCCCATAAGTAGGTGGGAAGGAGATGAGCAGAGGTGCGATTTGTGTTCGAACCCATTGACTGAGTGAATCTCTTTTCTTAGAATCTATGGATATGGCCTAAAATGCAAAGATTTATGGACAAAGTTATTTATTGGAGCAAAAAACTGAGAATTACTTAATGTCTGACATGAGGGAAATAGCTAAATAAGTTGTGGAATGTTTATACAGTGGGCGTGTTTTTAATATGAGAAGATGTTTGTGACAGACTGGTTGAGAAAAGGATGATGCAAAATGTATGTACCGCGTGAGCTCAGTCGAGCAGTCCTGGGTCATGGGGATTAGAGTAGCTCCTGCTTACAGGAATGGATACTGGAGTCACATCTGAATTTGAGTCCCAGCTCTGCCACTAGCCCTGGAACTCTGGGCAAGGTAGTCAGTCTGACTGAACCTCTGTTTTCTCATTTGTAAAATGAGAATAAAATCATATCAAGCCTCTTAGGGCTGTTGTGAGAATGAAACGTGATAATACGTGGAAAGCATTTAGCACAGTGCCTGCCTGGCAGGTAGAAACCACTCAGTCAATGATTGTGGTTATTATTAGTAAGCCAGGAAATATTCCAAAAAAGCTGACGGTGATTCTCTTTGTATGTAGGGATGAAAGTTCTTTTTCTTGGTGTTCTTCTGTGTTTTCCAAAATTTCCATAATGAGAATATTTTATTTTTAGAATCAGAAGAGAAAGTTTATATAAGAAGCAATACAGGAGCCTGCTTTTTAAAGACATGCTCCCTTGAGAAAGAGGAGCCTCAGGTGTAGGCAAGATGTTCTCAAGGTCAGGCAGCACACATCTGGGTCTGAGGACTTGGGTTCTCCCCACTTCTAATCTTTTATGTCTGTGGCTTTATCCAGGAATTAACATGAAATGCATGTCTTAGCAGAATGTCACCATTGGGGTGTCCTGGGCTTTCTTTTAGCAACGTTCTCTCAATCTCATTTTCAACCAGAAGATTTGATAGTGGTGGTAATATGTTAAAATAAGGCTCCTAGTTACACCTTAACTATAAGTTAGAATTTGGTTCAGCTGCAGGTACCAGAAAAACTGACAGATGCTTGCTTAGATAAGGAAGTATCTTTCTTTGTATGTATGTGTTTGTCCCAGGCAGAAAGGAGTCCAGGGCTGGCCTGGAGTGTCATGGAAGAATCAGGTTTCTCTTGTGTTTTCTGTTCTGCCAGCTTTATGAATAGCTGCTGCTGCTGCCCCTTGCACCTTGCGTGAGCTTCTTCCAGGCAGGACGAGGACGAAAACCAAAGTTGCAGCGCTGGCAGGCTTGTAGTTACAATCTCATGGGCCAGGATTGGGTCACATAGCACCTCCAGCTGCAAGGTAGTCTGGGAAGCTGAGCTCATAACTTGCTGGTCTCTATAGCAGAGGACAGCAAGTGGAAGGGATGTTGGATGAATCAGCCTATAGTATCTGCTGCATAACTGTAACCCCTTACAAGCAAGATTTTAGGCTCATAAGTTAGCTGTTGAGTATGGTTCAACCTGGCCAAAACAGTAACACATACAGACATGTCTAGAATGTTTATCCAAGTATAGAATTTAGCATTGGAGGGGTCTTTCAGTTAGATGGCATTGAATATATGGGAATGGAGCCTGAAGAGGTACATGGACTTGCCTGAAGCCACAATGCAGTTTGACTGGTGGCAGAGCTAGGATGGGGATTCAGTTGTTCTTGCTACCATGAAGTCAGTCGATCGTTCTTTCTACTTCATTTCAGTGTCTTCTAAAAGGAGACATGTATCACTCATCACTTCTCTTAAAGTGATACAGATCTAGAGCTGTGAGGTTTCCAGTGCGGGTGCTGAGTGTCATTACAGTGAGTGCTGGGGTTGGGAAGGGGAGTCACTACAATACGATGTGAGTCGGTGTGATGATGCGGGGTGAGATCACTCACCTGTGGTGTTGAGGGACTGTGCTCTGTGTTTAAACATCTTGTGGAGACTTGGCTGTTAGAGCGGGAAACAGCCAGCTGCTGGCAGCCTGAGTCCACAGGCCCTTCAGTATTTGGGTACAAATCGTGCCCATGTCCCTTGGCTATGGATTGGGATGTTGTGGGTCATGAACTCCTTGTGACTCTGAATAAGTTTGGAGAAGCTAAGATGGTAACTTTCTCCCCCTTTCATCTTAGGTGTTGCTGTGATTCACAAGCCCTTGTGACCCCCAACTCCCGCTGCCAGGAGGTGGAGGAAGGGAGGGGTGCTGCCTGTGACTCGGCACAGTGGGACCACGCTGGCTGGGTGCCACTCGCTGCCGGAGTCTGCAGAGGAGCGGGGACCGCCCTCCTCCAACTTGGCAGTGTCGTCAGGGTGGGAAGACAGTGACCCACCTCCTGCTGCCGCAAGGTGTTTCGTCCTCTGCCCTGAGCAGTGGGTTCCTGATAGCTCCGGCTGCACCTTTGAACGTTCTTTTGTGTGTTTCTACAGGGACATCAGAGAACCTGGAACGTGTGTGTGTATGTGTGTGTGTGTGTGTGTGTGTGTGTGTGTGTGTGTGTGTGCAGAACGTGGTGATTCACTAAATTGGAGGGTGGTGATGGTCTGCTCCATTTCTATACTACTGATCCTTCCACTATGCTAAAAATCAAATCACAGAAACCTCTCTTATGGATTTGCCCTATGGGGACCTTGAGACTACTAGAGCTGTTGTCTACTGGAAGTGCAGTTGGACATACCAGGAATGTCCAGAAATGACCAGGCCCATGTACCGGCCTAGACTACTGGCATTGTCTGCAGAAGAGTGGGGTGTTCTCGAAGCTGCCCCGTGTCCTCTGTGTGCTAGAACTAGGACCACAGGTTCTCTAGCCCCTCAGCTGGGTGCTCTTCCTTGGGCTCTCCTCATGGAACTTCTTATCAGAACTGCCTAGTCTCTGGGCTACTGGTCTTTGAGGTCAAGGATTCCAGGTTTGGGAGATTTCATGTCTCTTCAGCTGCAAAAACTAGCTCTTCAGAGAAGCACTGAGTAACACACTGGAGGAAAAAAATACATGAAAAACAAAAACACAAGAAAACAAAGTGGTAAGGCTTCAGTCCTTGTCCACAGTGGTCCCAGAGAGGATCCTATTTCTGGGTTTTCCTGGGATAGGACAGTCCCTGTTTATACTTATTATCCAGGTTTAATTTTTCAGAGCATCCCGTTTTACTCTCAAAAGTGTTCTGGTCTGGAGGCTAAGTAAAAGACCACCATACCTCCAAACCCAAAGATAGGTTTGTCCCTGCACTGGATGGGGTCACGTGTGATTTACATGGACATGGATGGATTCAAAGGGGTGTATACTTGGCACCCTGGGCCTGGTCCTCGGCAGTCGGTCCAGTCTGTCTCACATCCTTGTCTTCCTTTCCTTGTGCTCTTCCCCCATTCCAGGCCTGTACCCTCTCACCAATCCTCAGAACTCCCCCCTCCTAGCTTCTCCCGTGAGGGAGGACATGGTGGTGGGCCCTGAATGTGTGATCTCTCTCAGGAGTACTTGCATTTTGAGAGAGGAGCTTGAAGAAAGCTTTGCTAATTCACAGGTAAAAATGATTAATGACAGGCCTTCAGGCATCCGGAGGAGGGTATTTGAGGGCTCAGGGAGTCATTTGCATTAAAAAAAAAAAAAAAAAAAAGAACCTTAAAGCTGTACTGTTCCTGAACTAGCAAGTTGCTTATATTGGAATTTCCAGCCTAAGGAGGGGGAGTCTTGTGTCTGGAGAAGAGTCTCACAACTTGGGGGCTGGAATTGACCCTTCCTGATGTCAAGGTCCACCGTTAGGGAGCTAAGGGGCTTTATGAACTCTGACGGTGGACTTCTCATACAACTGGGCAACTTCCAAGCAGGTTTTATAGGAGACTGTCATTCTCCCCACTTCACCCTGAAGTTATAAACCCAGGACTTTCCCCAGCGAGTTGGACACTTTGTGTATTTACTGTATATTTATTGTGCGTGAACCACTCAACTCCCCTGACGGGGAAATATCTTCTGATGTTGAGCAGATGTTATTTCAGTGAGACATTTGGAGAATACCAAGGTACCCAGAATTTTTAGTAACCTTGGGCAGAGGCTGAAATATCCAGCTTTGGTGGACTTGGAAGAACAGCTCCAAAGGGATCAAGACATGCTGTTAGCTGGTTTGTTCTGCTCTTACCTGGCATGGGGGTGACTGTGGTCTCAAAGCTCTGCCTGCCTCTGGATCGGAAGCTGATGGAATGCGCTTTCTGTTCCAAATATTCTTCCTCCCTCTCCGAGGAAGGTTTGGGACTCTGTTTCAGGGTGTGTGTGTGTCGGGGGATGAGGTTGGGGTCTGATGTGTGCCATCACACAGCTCCTGATTTCAGACGAAAGGTGAAGTTCCCCCCCACACCTGGAAGCTGAACTTCCAGGCTTATCATGCTTATGTGGGGGGAGGCTATTGTTTGTGTGTCATCTTCCCAGAAAGGACCCCCTCCCCGAGAGCTAGCCAGCTGTGTTTCCTGCTTTTGGATTTTTGCTGTTGACCCCACCTCACGTCCCCTTTCCCAGGAAGCACTGCTCCTACTGGTAGTGCTGCTGAGGCCATGTTCGTTTTATCCTCATGTGTCCTTTCTCACGGGGACTAGAACACTGGTACGTCATCACCAAATAGCCAATCTGCTCTAGCTGCCCACAGATGCCATCCAAAACCTGCTGTCCCTTTATTACCAGGTACAATTCTCTCTCCACAGTGGGCACGACAGACTTATTTTCAAGTCTGTGCTGGTCATGTGGTAGGTGAACCCCCCTGCATCCCCTGTTCTGGTGGCCACACCTGCTTGTGAATGCAGCTTTGCCAGTGGGATATCTGAAGTCTGATCACAGCGATGAAATGGAATTGCAGCCCAAGGTTAGAAGCAGCTTAGACACCACTTGGATTCTGATTTGGACAACAGAGAAGTCAGACTCTGAATTCCAAAGTTCTTTCTCATAAGTACCCAATGGCATCTCTCCATCTAATAAGTTGCAGTATTATGCAAATGAAAGTGACCTCATTTTCTGCTATGCAATAAGAATACTTAATTCTATTTCATGACAGACTAGTTGCAATATCCCCTAAGATGCTTTCTGAGCTGTCTTACTTTGATATCTGTTGTATAATGTTTGTATATTCCTGAGCCAGATCCTTTCAAAGATTGCCTTTTTATAAAATTGAAGCTACAGCTTTCAGGCTAAAATTTTAATGTAGATATTTTTATAAAGGAATTTTTCACGATATTTGAATTGCTTTTTATTGTCCATGATAATGAAATGTTATGTTCTATGCATCATTCACTTTCAAACATCGTTCATGCCTGTAGCTATCGTCCCTTTGTTTCTCACCCTCCCCAAACTTCAGTAGCTCCAGGTTGAGTTGGAAGCTTCTTTCTTACACCACATTCAAGGGAGATTGCTGAAAAAACACAATCACTGGTGTTTACTGAATTGTTTAGGGACTAACATTAAGCCTGACTCAGCACTTACACATCTACGTTGCCTATCTGCTTTTTTTGGAGTCTGTTTTTGGCAGGGTGAGGCAGGGGGGAGTCTGGTTGGCCCATCTCCTGGCATCTCTCATGGCCTGGCACGGAGCCTGGCATGCTGTGGCATGGAGAAGCCCAGGGAAAGGCCTGCCCTTCAGCGCATAGTCCCGGGAGGTTTCCTAGATCGAGCTGACTAGTCTTCATTCTTTTCTGTCTCCTTGTTCTTCGGAGCTTCAGGCTTAAGGCTTTTGCTGCTGGATGATGTCCCTTCCGGAAGCATCTTGTCGATGAACTTTAAAAGAGGGCTCATTCCTCATGATCCCCACTAAGAATGTGATCAGCATGTGCTTTGCAGATGTTCATACTACACTTACAGCTTACTTGTTTCTTGAGCTGTGTCTACACTCCAGGCTCTGTTTTGTGTATTTATCTGCCAATTAGTCTCATTTTAAAAAATCTTTATTTTTATTATTATTGGGACAGGTGCCATTTGAATTGCCTCCACGCTCGCTCCCCATTTGCACCTTGACAGATCAAATTAGGAAGTTGAGCAAACTTGTAATCCAGTTAGCTGGAGGTTCTCTGTTTGCCTGGAGAAGCGAGGAGGTTGGAATGTGTTTTGTTTTTGTTTTTTTTTTTAAGTGTTTGCACTATTTAGAGTCCTAAGCCCCTCATATTCAGCTGTGCTGTGTATCTACTGACCAAGCAGGAGAGCCGGCAGCACTTCTGATGTTTGGGAGTGCCTGAGGCCTCTTCTGTAGTGGATAATCACAACCTCAGAGCCCCTGTGCAGTCTCCATCGTGGGGCTCAGTGACTTGTAGCTACAGCGTCTGCCAAGGCAGTAATGCATGGGGCAGTGGCATTTGGAGCAACAAAGTGCCCTAGTGCAGTGTTCTTGCCTTTGGTTATGAGATTTCAAATTATTTTCCCCCCTTTTTAGTGGCAATAAGGACCCTTGTTGGACTTCTTGTTTAATTTGTATGTGATGTGTAAAATACTTTCTTTGAAAGAAAATTCAAGACACTGAATTTGTACGTCTGTGTGGGTGCCACGTCCATGTGGTTGTCCGTAGGCAGGCAGACTTGATCCCTGACACCCTGTACACCACGCTGCGTAGGTCGGGTCCTTGATCTGGTGGTCTCTGCTTGGACGGTAGGGAGCATAGAGTTTGTAAAAGAAGACTTGTCACGTGCTCCATCAGTTACAGTGCTAGCTGAAGAAACAGTTCCTCACATGTATTCTTTTAACAGGAATTGTGTTCTAGGTTCCCATACTTTATGTTCCTTTAACTTTAATAAAAGCTGAACTGTGAGAACCTTTCTCAGTATTTCATTTCTGTAGTCCAGTCTCTTTACTCGGTCTCAGACATGAAAAGGGCAGACTTAACTCCTGCATGTCTTCAGATTCAAAAGATTTTCTCTTTAAGATCTGCTGGACAGAGTCTGGGTTCCTTTGGTCTCTATTATCTGACACAGTGCCAGACTCACAAAGATCTTCAGTGAGGCCCAGAGAGGCTGGTCTCTCCAGTGGGTGTTCCGTTGTGTGGACAACTGCCTGGTGATCACCGTGAGGTGGGTGAGATGGTACCGGCACGGGAGGAGGAGGTAGAGATTTGGCTGTAAATAAATATTGATTTTTAAATGTTTGTTACAATACCTAGAGATTTTTATAGATATGTTGTTATGTTTGAACCATTAAAAATGCAAAT